TGTGTGTGTGTAAGCGTATTGCGCGTCTGTGTGTTTAAGAGAGAGAGGGAGTGTATGTGTGTGTGTGTGTGTGTATGTGTGTGTTTGTTTGTAAAGGATATGTCTACGTGTGTTTGTGGGTGTGTCATTTGTTTGTGTGTCTTTGTGTTTACATGTGTGCGTATATGTACGTGTCATTGTCAGTGTGTGTGTGTACGAGTGTTGTTGCTTCTATTCGTTGTTTTAAGCTATTAGCCTGCACACACACACACACACACACACACACACACACACACACACACACAAACACACACACACACACACAAACACACATACACACACAAACACACATACACACGGGCGTTGTCTGTTGGGAATGTCCTAAAGACACTGCCAACTGCTAACTGTCAACCACCCTCTCGCCTTCAAAATATCAAAACGCGTGTATAGCATTTGCTTACTCAAAACCAAGACAATATGTCTCCACAAGCGAACTAGATCGTTTTCCTGTCTTTCTTTCTCATCTAATCAATAATTATATGGTATCAATGATTAAAATTATTTATTCTTTTTCTTTTCCCCTCCTGGGCCATATACAACAAAAGACTGACTCAAAAACCTTCGTTAAACTGTTCTGACTAAGCAAGAAATATCTGGCCTTTCATTGTCTGAGTTCCTGGTACCGTTCCAAGCTGCTCTGCTGTGGTCTGTGTCCCGCGTTTGTCAGGGTTTTGTAAGACATTCATTCACTTCTCGCATCACTGAACAGAACAGCAGTGCCAGCCTACTGCATAAATAAAAATCAGTAGTTGTCAGGCTATCTGTCTGCCTGCTTGCCTGTCTGTCTGTCTGTTTGTCTGTCTGCCTGTCTGTCTGCTTACTTGCTTATCTACCTGTCTGCCTGTCTGTCTGTCTGTGTGTCTGTCTGTCAGCCTGCCTACTTGCCTATCTGTCTGCCTGCCTGCCTGCTTGTTTGTCTGTCTGTGTGTCTGTTTGTCTGTATCGACCGCTAAGATCAGAGAAAAAATACGACATGTTCACTAAAGTGGGATCAGCTAGCGTGGTCCTGCCACTGTATTGAGCCTGTCTGTCATTAAAAGTTCGTCAAGGCTTTAAATTCTAGCGTGTGTCTGACACCTTCTGACTCCACGGGCCCAAAAAATGGAGCGGTCGGGAGAACAAATTGACAATCAGTTACCCCCGTCTGATCCCTCTGGGCTTTACACTCACAGAACTAATACGCTGTGCACATCAACAATCAAATTCTTCAGATTTCTGTCTTGGCCAGCTAGATTTTCCTTCAAGAATGGGCCAAAAGCTACTATTTTGGCACACGACCAATGGTTAGACTCGCGACATTGAAAAACAAACGTGTTTGATTGTGCGGGTCACAGTCGAATTTAGAGAAATTCTGTCCTTCTGTGCTGTGCCAAAGTGGTACCCTAGTTGGACAATGACAATGACAATCTTTATTTATCTCACAGGGAGAAATTTGTCTTGATCGTTTGCAACAATGGCAGTAGATGTTACAAAAGTTAGGTGCACTCACGCATACACACAACAAGACAGGACATTAGCAAAATGCATGTGCATATCTCACGTGCTGGAACATCCCGCTCCGTAAACCATTCTCTCTCTCTCTCTCTCTCTCTCTCTCTCTCTCTCTCTCTCTCTCTCTCTC